TTCTACATTGTTTCTTCTAATACGTTTTTATATTAATTCCCTTTTTGACAATAACCAATTGAAATTTCAAGTGTTTATGCATGCTATTTACACACATTTTCAATGATCCGATTATTTTTCTTTACAAAATAAGCAGAATGATTCGAGCACTAATTTCCGATTCACAATACGCACGTCTTATCTTTCCGTTTATTAACCCCCAATATTGGCTTCACTATTGCCGGAGATTTTTGACCAAGTATCAGTTCTGCAATACTAAACACAGCGTTTTCCGTTGGAGACAAATTTTGATTCGCACAATCTAAATAATCGGTAATTCCGTCTAAACGTTTCAAAAAACCGGATGAGAGGGAAGAGTCAGTGAAAGATAGGTCAGTAATTGACGTAATTTTTCTTGACCTGAAAGTTTATCACCATTCACTAAGCAATTACATTTTTCTGGCGCATGGYTTGATCAAGATACTCCTCAATATGCAGTCTTCATTTATGGTTGTACTAGAGTATGTATTCATTTATACTACACAATCAATGTACATTTTTGAAAAACTGATCCCTCCTATTCCTGAGCACTATTTATCTAAGTTTTTTCTCTCAATAGATATTTGTGCGAAACTGATGGGATAACAGTATTTGACCTCCTTACAGTAGTCAGTGTAAATGTAGAACTATAATATTCAATGTAATGTTCTGTATGATCGTTGCAGGCGAGCAGCTGGTGGCCGGCTACGATTGTTTGCATGTCCGCATTTTGTTCGCTATCAATATTCATGRMATAAAAGCCCGTTTCGCTGTGTGTGCTGTGGTGATGTACAGTACAAAGTGTATCTCGTCTATCAACAAAGATTCGCTAATACTTCGATACATACCTAATGCACTCTTCGCTAAGGATAAGTTTCTTGACATTTTCAATCGATATCGCTCAAATGCACTAGTTAGCTTTGAACGTTTTCGATTAATTTCCTCGCCGGATGACAAAGCGATATCCAAATTAAAAAGGGAAGGAAGAAAATAAAAACTAGATTGAGGATAGCTGAGGATATTTTGCGTTAAGAGTAAATATGAAGGATGATAAAGTTGCGGATGGGGGCCGGGAAACTCATCTCGCAGATTCAAAAATGTTCGCCATACGTTTAGGGAATCCTTTAGGCTAATCKTATAATCTAGACAGTTCTTTTATATTTATAGTAGAGTTTTGAAAAATGGTAACAAGTAGGTCAAGCAAAGACCAGAGAAAAAGGAAAAGTATTGTTTTGACAGCGCTGATCACGCGCCTTCTTGACAACCGCGTGTTGTGATCTGTCCGGCGTAAAATTTTACTTACAATAAAGAGCTTTTTCACTGAATTCGCTTCCATCTACAGGAACCAAAACCTTTCTACCTTCGAGAGACTCGCTGGAGGTTTGCTGTTCTGCCATTGTAGCCATCTGACAGTTCTGTTACATCTGATAGTGAATCAATGTTGTTGTGGTTGGTCACGCACCACATGCTGTGACATCAYCGGTATCCAGTCCCTCGCTATAAGCTTTATCACGCAACAGACATGCGGGCATGATAAAAGTAGCTGTCACGTTAGCAAGAAAAAGAAATGACTRCATAGATAGTTRKATTGAAATTATTCCAGAAGTGAGATGACGGCAAATGAATGAAGAGGCTAAGGAAATGGTCTTTGCTTGAATGGACAGTCAAAAAGGAAGGAAGAAAATGCTTCAATTCTAATCAAGCGTGCCCTGTATAAATATACACTAAGCCAAAAGCCATTATTCAGAATTGAGGGGTGTAAGCGGCTTCATACATTCATGTACGATATTTACGTTCATTATAAAAAGTGTTGTTAAAGAGATCACTGACCGGAATTACTTCGTTTTACACTCGCCGAATTTGCAGATACTAAAACAATTTAGGATCAATTCGCTTCTTTCCGTGCTTAATGATGGAATATGACATTCAAACGGGAAGGTTTTAAAATATGAGATCACTCAATCGGCTTGCTTTTAATTGAAAAAAAAAAATTAATTGTCTGTTTAAGTAATAAAACAGATGCAAAAGAAGAGATATCMAATGATAGGTCGAGGAGGGCTGGGGCGATAGAGCGTTTTTTTCCCCGCCGAAAATGAAATTCATGCGCGTTCGCTCATAGACAAAGCAAAACTGGATATATGTAGAAATAATGGAGAATTTATTAAAGTCAGTCAGGCAATGTCTACGTCTAGCACACTGCAGAGCATAATAAGAAAGCAGCTTAATTTTTTTTGTCTCGACATAAAATCTTCTCTTTTGATGTAAAGTTTCTATTTTCTTCATAGCTCTAAGACGTGAATGCAGCACTTTTATTGTTTATAATGTTGTTAGGGTTTATTATTTATYAATCTTAACAGTGCAAAAACTCTTAAATAATTCACGTGTGTTTAAAATATATATGCCCCATGGCATTTAAAATTTTCRGTATTGCTTCTACTTTTTCATGTCCTCCTCTTGTTGTCAATTTTCACGGGCGCCATTTTTTGGTTGTTGTTTTGTTTTAATTATGTTTCAGTATAAAATTTGTTTARAAATAAGTTAGACATTATTAAAAAYAGGAACAAAGAATAAAACTGTAGTCATGATTGAAAAACTGATCGGTCAGATCTATCTGTGAAGATTCGCAGCGGCGAAATTATTCCGAAGGCGGAATGACCGCGACAGGGACGTCCGAATGATGTACGACGTAGTCGCTCACACTCCCGAGGATTGCACGACGTATCACGCCATGACCACGTGACCCAATGACGATTAACGTTGCGTGGTAATCATTAGAAAGTGCAANTAATAAACACATTCGACGTGGATATGATCTCTGGTATCGTACTAAACAAGCTACGGGCAGGCCACAAGCAGAGAGAATGGAAAACGACTTGCTTGATTCGTACGACTACTTATGGAACATCAGAAAGAACGAGTAGCTGATGTACAGCGAAGAACTTGTATTGAAACAATTTCTGATCATTGATAGTGGATGTTCTAGAGACAATSTAATGTGACAATTTTTGTTTTCCTCCTCTGCAAGTTAGACAACTATACTAATACTGTAATGATGAGAGTGTACTGGAAGAGAGACGTCTGCATAGTAGAGTATTTTTGTAAAAAGTATGAACATTAAGGACCATTAAGTTTGTAGGAGATGATTATTTAATTTAAAAAAACTTCCCATATTTCTTGGAATTGGTCTTTGTGTACTCTCTTAACTCTCTTTGTGTACTCTCTTTTCCGCTAGAATAGACTTCTGAGCCTTTTACGTCAATTCTTGATTTTCTATGCTTTGCGGTATCAGTTTCTAGTGAAAACAAAAGAAATCCGCCATTTTCTGTCCCAGACTCAACAGTTGTAGCGCTTTCCAAATGAAAAAAAGAAATGAAGTATGAAAAAATCGATTGATTGATTGATTGATTTTTATGACGTCAAAACTTCAATATCATTATTTATTATTAAATATGACTTCTTTACAATATTTCATATGACAGCTGAGCAGTTGTTTGGAATACACCTTTTCAGTTGGTCTTAGGCCTCTACAGCGTGTTAAATATTCTTTTGAATTTGTAGGAATGTGAGCAATGCAAACATTGATATGAATAGTCTCATTTGTCAAATTCACTGAAAAGAATAATTAACTTGCTATCGAGGCCTAAGTGCAACTGAAATGGTGTATTGATTCATAGCATAAGTAATCTGTTTATCTGTTTCTCGGACGCTTTAATGCCTATAGTCTGTTCTTTGAAATAGTTAAAAAATTTCCTTCATCCGAAACTTAAATAAATATCTATGAATGGTGAGGATAATGGTGCTTCCACGATTCCGGGGGGACCACGGTCACAGGTACGGGACAGTGATGTACAACAAAATCACTCACACTACCCAGGACCGTTCTTCTCAGTTTCCCGAGACCACGTGCTCCAATAATCACTGCATCGACATTCTCATTTACAGCTTCCTCGATTATCACYTGACCTGGTTTATGACCATCCAATATTATTGGACGACAGTTGATCTATAAAGACGAGATGAAYATAGAGGGATAAAACCATCATGAAAGGTCGCAACTACACTCAATACACGCAAAATAGTCGTTACCCCCCATTCCAGATCCATCAGGATAGATTTGTCRATTCTGGAGAGGAATTCCCCATACATTTCTTAATSATTCCCGTACTAAAAATTARACAAGCTTGACGAATGGTCAAATTTACAGRCTGACTCGTCCCCAGTCATCTGTCGCGCCATTTTTCTAGCGTCTCGAAAAGAGACGCAGGACGAGAGAGACGTTTCTCTTCTTTCCTCCTTCCCTTGATGCTTTTCGCGCGCGAGATAGAAGAGAACGACTGGGGACGAGTCAGATTTACAAGGCTCAAAAGGACTCAAAGCTAGTGCAAAGCGCGCGATTTTTTTCCAGTGCAAGAGTCTTGTGCATATAGGTTTGGAAGTCGATGTTGAAATGCAAAAGTGTTTGTATTTTGATAATCAAAACAGCAATATAAAAGTCRCCATACCAAGATGCAYTGTGGGTGTCTTACTTGTTTATGTTTRTAGTCCACGTGACAGACTGTCTGATAATGGTGCAATAATACTTTGGCTTTGGTTCGTAGTTTTTCTACTTCGTCTTTCCATTCGCCGATATAGTCATACGCATCTAAACAATGTGTGAAAAACTAAAGATTAGAGACTGCTAGAATATAAGGTCTACATTGAGACGGAAACATATAAAACATATACTTTTTACGGTGTTGAAATTCATTCTTTTTGCAGAACTGTTCAGTCTTYAGAAACACCGACTAGCTGATACTAGTTTAAAACCTCTAGCTTCCACCATATTCAAAATATAACACTAGCCTTTTCTCATTATGTCAACATGCTTTTCTTGTCAGTTTTGTCTGCATTGGTTTTGATTATGTCGCGGCGTGACCTTTCCCTGAAGCGATTACTTMTTGATCGTAAAAAGGTTCGCAACGTTCCGATTCACTGATTCACAGTCGCGGCAACATATGCGACTTGATCTTCTTTCAATGAGTTTCAACCTTGCTCTGATTTTTTTTTTGTTGAAACAGTCAAATCCTTAGCAATTTGCACTCGTGAAGGGCGATTAGCACCAACCGCTCACCACCTGCGAGTAATCTACTGTGTGTATACAGTCATACTTACATGGGAAACGTTTCTCAGGCACTGGCGGATATTCTATACAATGTGCTATCAATACAACATCGCCATTTCTTGACAAATATTCGAGGTACCCTGGAATGCAGAAAAACATGCAAATAGTTTATAGTCCAGTATGTCGTATGGAACGCTGCGAATATGCGATAAGCCAATGCTCGATAAGCCATGCTTCTGATTTTCCTATCAAAGAAATCCCTGCGACGCGCGCGCGTCAATTTTTGACATTTTCCCGCCTTTTTTG